GCGCTCTACATAAAAATCCGCTCTCTTCGAGCTGCGGAATCGAGCAGCGTGCGGGGGGGATTATTGGCGTTCGCTGTTGCGACGCTGCTCGCGTTGGATAAATCCCGGAGGATCGCCAAGTATCCCTTCGCGAACACTTTACGTTCCTCCGATTTACCGCAATTCTACTCATTACGCGAGTCCATTAGAAGCGCGAGCGAATATCGCGCGGCGGAGATGCGCTTTCCGCCGTGAGCGGCAAGCTGGACGTCCGGAATGCGAGCGGAACCCGTTTCTATGAGTCAAGCCCGACTATTGACAACAGAGGGAAGGAGAACAAGAGGGAGAGAAAGAAAGAGATAGATTGCGAGAGAACGAGAGAAGGAGAAAGAAAGAGAGAGAGAGAGAGAGCCGCCTGCGGCCCACGATAGCCGATCTTGCGGTTCTGGATCGTAGCACGCGATCCGATGTATCGTGCAACAGCAACAGCAACGCCGGAGAAAGAGAATATGAGAGAGAGAGAGAGAGAGAGAGAGAGGGATTGAGAAGGGGTAAGGTGGATGCGGGAGAGAACAGAGGGAGAAGAGGAATTTGCGGGATCGAATCGTGTTACGCCGCGAAGATCGACTTCGATCGGGACGCAAGGCAGCGTGACGAGGTGCACGTAGGATCGCATTTAACGTGTAATTGGTTCATGGACGATGAATAACGCGGATTTTATACAGAAGGGCAAGAGAGAGAGAGAGAGAGAGAGAGAGATTCTAGTACGGGACTGGGAACTAGCGCGCACGGGTTCTTCTAGCTTCCGTAAGCCGGAGTCCGAATTGATCGATCTTTCTGTCCGTGTTGCTGCGGTCACAATAACGACGGAAACTCCCGATTGCGCTCCTCATTGCGCGAAACGCCGTTGCGAGCGGCAAAGTTACGGCGCGGTAATCTTGTAACTTCCTACCCCGTACAACGTCGGCTCATTTTTTTATCTTTTTTTTTTCTTTTATCATTAATAATAAACCCGCGCGCGTTCCGGTCTTCGAGCCGCTTCGGTTCTCGACTCTCGGGACCGCTCGGCCTGCGAGGGAATTTTTGACGAGGCCGAAGGAGGAGCGCGGAGGAGAGCGGTGCCGAATGAACGCGTGATTTCCAACGGAAGTCCCGTAATACGATCGGCGCGCGGTTGTAAATTTCTCGATTGGAAAATAACGTCGATTTATCGGCGCGAATGACCGAAACGCGACGCAAGCGAAGTCGAGCATCGCACGAAGGGGAAGGCCGTAAACGGAAGTAACGGTACCGCGACGAGAGATACACGAGCGAGCAAGAATCGATCGTGCTTCCGAGCCAACGAGTGAAGAGAGAGAAAGAGAGAGAGAGAGAGAGAGACCAAGAATGATAGGCGACTCTAGGCCGATAATTAATGAGCCGAGCGATCGAAGTCCTCGCAAAAACCTTGATGTAATGACCATGAGTCACTTAGATACGAAAACATTTTTCCGCACGGTCGACAGGAACAAGTTTTTCAGCTGCGCGACACGTAGGTGTCACGGCGCGATCGCAATCGAGTTCATCGATCCGTAATGACAGACTCTCCTCGTGGCTCACGCTTACGGCATGCTTCATCCAACACGTATCTATCGTTCATTTAGCTACGTTGAAATTTCTTTCTCGCCGGTCGAACCTTGAAAATTGACATTGCGAAAGCATGAAGTTCGAAAAATGGTCTTACCTTTTCAATTGAATGAAGATCGCGTTTTCCACTCGGTCGCTCGCAGCATGGAAAGTATGCGTATTCTTTACCGCGATGTTGCAATTAAGCGTTCGCGCGCGTGAGAGAGAGAGAGAGAGAGAGAGAGAGAGAGAGAGAGAGAGAGAGAGAGAGAGAGGGACCCGCAACAGATTTATAATCGCGGTGGAAAAGGCAGAGAGAGTTTCGGGTGACCCTATATGCGTTCCCCGTTAGATAAGCTAGGTAGGCGTGTTGCCGCAGATATGCGAGCTCGCGTGACCCGCTCGTGCCGAGTGAGAGGAAACGTATGAACAACGAGCCCCCGGGAGAGAGAGGCTGTATGCGGTCATAGAAAGTGATAATAATGCGAGCATACGGTAATGAAGTATCGCCCCGCTCACGATCGTCCCGCTCACAGGACGACCGCCGCCGCTGGGTCGCCTCCAGCGGCTCGATACATCTGGGACCGCGTGCGTGTAAAAATCGAATTAATTATACGACGCTGGCACGACGCTGGTCGTAGCTTTCTGCCGTTAATAACGGCGGCCATGCCAACGCGTAATTAACGATAGAAAATGATCCAAACTCGACGATTTAATAATCTTCGAGAAATCTTACGATCTTGAAGGAAATTCTTAAGAAATGAGAGAGAGAGAGAGAGAGAGAGAGAGGACGGGAGGGAGCGGGTTCTTCTCTCCTCCGGGACGTTGAGTATTGTGGGAAATTAATTTTAATTATCCTGAGAGTGTAATTTTAACTTTAATCAATTAATTATTCATTCGTTGATCAGTAGATAGTATTAAATTAAAGACGCTCATCCTACTAAAGCTGTATTTTCCTCTTGTCGAGTGATTATCACCGACATGTGCGCGCGCGCGCGCGCGTAAGTAAAGAGTGAATTCTTTAATACGAATACTTCCGGCAGGCGCCGGAGCTCAAAGGCGAGGAGCAGAGGAAGCGGCGGAGACGAGATTAGAAATTCGAATGTCGCGAGTGCGCACGGCCGTCGGATCATCGCGATTGTCTCGGCGTTTGAAACGCCGACCGGATCGCCCAGTTTTCCCGGCGCGACTCCGCTTATCTCGCGCGGCCGGCAATTTGTCTTGGGATTCTTCGCGTCGCGATCAGATACATAACATGCGCCGCGACTTTTCTGCGAGCGAGCGCGTGTTCGCCGAGCGCTAAAGGTCATCGTCTGCCCGCTAAGTGTTACGCGAACTACCGCGCGCGATCTTTCTAATTACGCCGCCGCGCGTTCTCGGCCACGCGGCTTTTAACCCCGCCGGTACGCTTCGTCCCCCCGGTCTGCCGTGCACTTACGACGAGAGGTCACGACACGCTACCCGCCGATTCTTCTCGTCCTTTGCGAACGCGAGCCTGTAGTTGAATCGCGCGATTAAATGTATAAACAAGACGGCGCGCTCCGTTCGCGCAGAGTATCACGTGGATATTCGAGCGCAACGCTCAGAAGTAAGTAACGAGCGCGATAATGAGCACGAATGTGAAATGCGTATTTGCACGATAAGATAAATCCTGAGACTCCTCACGCGCGATAGACCTCTCGCTCTCTTTCGCTCTCGCTCTCGCTCCTTTTTCTTTTCTTTTCTTTTTTTTTTCTTTTTCTCTCCTCTAACACGATTATTTCCGTTTGATTGATACTCGTGTACCACTAGTATACAGTCTATAAAGTAAGAGCGTGTACGGGTTAATGTGTAGAAAAATTTATTTTTAATGATTTTTAAGTACATGGATTTGTTGTACTCCATGAGAAGAAAAATGCTATACCATTAATAATGAGTCCAGTCACACCACCGGCATTCATAATTGCCTGGCATCTCCGAGGCATACTTTCCACTAAGTTGACTGCGTATTCGTTCGGTAAAGACCTCCAAATGAGACGAATTTGTCGTATCAGCTGCTTCAAAGTGTACACTCTTTTTCCTCGAAGCTTGTGCTTGAGATATGCCCACACATTTTCAATGGGATTTGCATCTGGCGACTGCGATGGCCAATCAAGTGTGACGATGCCAGACTGCTCTTTCCACTCGGTGCAAAGCTTACTCCGGTGTTTTGGCTCGTTGTCTTCCTGTAAGATCCAGTCCTCGTTTCTTTTTTATGAAGCATCGTTCAGCAGTCGGCAACAAACACTTCTCATAAATTTTAAGCATTAAGGTCGGGTTCCGCTTAAACAAATTCACAATTTTTTTTTTCCATATTCGGCGTTACTTTGCCTATCGAGCCACGTTCTGGCAAGTCATCGACATTTTTTATCTTTTTATATTGCTGAACCCACTTAGCGACGAACGATTTTGACTTTCCCATTTTAGCATTTTCCCATTATTTAGCAGCCACTGCATATGACATTTTTGGTCCTTTGGGGTGGGAACAAAGGAACACAGCCTCGTAGCGCGATGCGTATGCGGCATTCATGACGGTTAACGTGTTTCTCAGGTTAGAGTTCGACGCCAACTGAATCTTTTGTGACAAAGCATTCACGACAAAGATTTCATCTATCGGCTCACAAAAAAACTAGGACGATATTTGAAGCCGACTGCCATTTATGCCGTACACGCTCTTACTCTACAGACTGTAAATGTTAATTTCGCACTTTCCGCGGATAGAATAGATTCTCCGAGAGAGAAAATCCGAGAGAGATTACTCATCACACACAACCCCCTCGCATACCCTAACTGGCGCGCTTTTTCATCGCGAGAGATAATAACAATCGCGTTGCGATCTCAGCGCGTCGCGCGTTCTCGCGCAATCTGATCGGATTCGTCGCGGAGGATCTTTCTCGCGCGGATCTTCAATCTCTCCGAGGCTCTCCGCGCCTTTTCCCCGTGCGCGACACGAGCGCGTGTTAACGCGGCGAATCGGATCGCATCGCACCACGCTGAAACACGAAAGCGGCTACGGAACGAGATAAACTATTTACACGTTCCGCTCGAAATAACACGTTGCCCCGCTAGTGGGTTTCGCGGCATTTTCGAGGTCGTACATTCGCGCGTCTCAAGTGCGATTCGGTGAGCGTCGATGCGGATTATCCTCGGTTTACGACGGCGGAATCTTGTTGCTGCTCACCAAGTTTCGCCGCGTGACGAAACCGTAGCCGCTCTCGCGAAAATCAACCGATCGCGCTTCGTTTTCCATCCGTGCCGTCGCCGCACCGGATAGCTCGTATCCCCTCTCTCCCCCCCTCCCCCTCCCCCGTATCTATCGTTCGTTTTTTACGGACGGCCTCTATTCCGACGCGAGAGAGGCGAACGGTCCATTAATTATTTCCACCGACCTGTTCCAGAGGCACCGCCGGCATCATCTCGGAAGCCATGCTGGCTGACGAGCTCGCACGCACCCGCCGAGGAGACGGTGGTAGAAAGCTGAGCTTGCAACCGCCTTAACGCTCGTACGTACGCACGCACGCACGCACGAATCGAACGAACGAACGAACGAACGAACGACCGTTCGCATTGTCGTCGTTGAGAAGGAAAGAGACGGGAAAGGAGGAGGAACCGAGAAAGAGAGAGAGAGAGAGTGCGAGCCTCCTCGCAGGCCTGATCATGTCGCGGAAGACCGTTCCTGCCTTTGATCTTGAGACTCTTCGACGCGCCTCTCACACAACGTAACAGCGGCTCCCAGCGGCTCCGTCCGTCCCAAGGCGTGCCTGGTCGGCGCATAGTTCCGCGTTGCGAGCCGCCGGCTCCATGTGGACGCCGTCGCCATGGTGGAACTAGTGTGCAGCAATTCGTTGAGCCCGGGAACAACGTAGCCTTGGTTCACACGCGGACGCCTTTCCACCACGCCACCGGGACCCACGAGTGTGGCTGACACGACGATCGAGGAGAGAGTAAGAGAGAGAGAGAGAGAGAGAGAGAGAGAGAGAGAGAGAGAGAGAGAGAGATCCTCGGCCCGGGAGAGCCGCTCGCGCGCGACGAATGACGTGCCTTTACGCGGATTCAGGCGCGAAGAAGACCGCGCTGCGACGTCGGCACGACCGCGACGGTGAATTCGACGCTCGTCGACGGACTCGAAGAGTGATCTGTTTTGCTACGTTTTGCGACGTTTCCTCAAGCGCGCGCGCGCGCGACGGCAGGAAGTGATGTGCTCTTCGGTACGATGAGGCCGGCTCGCGGGTCGAACTTGATGTTCCACGATACTCGCGGCTGCGGACTCGGAAGCTCGGCGGCGAGCTTCTCTTGACTTCCCCGACGGCGTCGAGTCACCGCGGCGTGATGAGGAGAGAAGTGAGACGGTCTCGATGAACGCCGCGAATTTAGCCTGACGACGGACGGATAGACGGCGAGAGGTTGAACGAGCCGCCCGCGCGTGGTGCTATGACACGACGGACTCGGCGCGACTCGGTAGTCCCTTCCGTCGCGTGGCCGCCATGTGAGGAGCAGCGCGTCCAGACGCTAGAGAAGAGGCCTCACCCCGCGTGACACCAGCGTGTCGAGTAATGCTGAAGCACATCCTGACGGGGCAGCCGTCGTCAACGGGCTCCAGGCATCACCACAATGACTATCAGACGAGCTCGGGCTCGTTGCACGGTGGCGGGCACCATCATCACCATCACTTGCACAACAACTCCCTGCACCAGGAGCAGCAGCAGCCGCAGCCGCAGCAGCCTCAGTCGCAGTCGCAGCACCACCAACATTATACCGGGAGCAGCGGGACACGCGGTGGCAGCGGCGGCGGCGGCGGAGGCGGTGGTGGTGGTGGTGGAGGAGGAGGAGGAGGAGGAGGAGGAGGAGGAGTACATCGCAGCAACGGCGTCGACGTGTACGACTCCGTGGTACAGAGATCAACGGCGACGTCGAACGTTCACGGTCAATCGGCCACGACGCCGTCATCGACGCACCGGCATCCCCTCAACCATTCCCAATTGAGCGTCAACAATCTGTCGCAACGGTTGAACCACTCGCACGCGCTCAACCTGTCGACCCTGTCGACTTCCAAGCACTCGGTCAACAGCGTCAGCCCGATCGCCGGTGGCAACGGTAACGGCAATAATAACAATAATAATCATCACAACAACAACAACAACAACGTCTCGGCGAGTCAGCTGGGACACACGCTGATCTCGCAGACGACGTTGCATCAGGACAGACCGAAGGCGAACGGCGGTTTCGACATCTCCAGGCTGTCGCGGCTGCCGAGTCAAACCACCCCTTCGCCCGCACCTGCGACCGCACCTGTCGTGGCCGGCCAAGTAACCGGTGGGCCAACGGTGATACCCCTGAACGCTTCTTGGTCATCGTCCCTGTCCCGCAATCATCATCGCAGCCAAGAGGCCGGTGTGAAGGAGATACTCACGAGCCTCGGCCTGCTGTGCCTGGTGTCCCTGCTGTTGGCCCTGCTCTCGGTCATCTTCCTGCTGAAGATCTCGCCGCTCACGGTCACGTCCAACAGCCTCATCAGCCCGGAGGAGTTTGTGATCGTGTACGAGGTCACGCTGGCGCTCTGCGCCCTCGCCCTGTCGCTGAACCTGTGCTGCTTGCTGGTCTGCGCCATACAGTTCCTCTTCGCCGTGAAGCTCGTCAAGACGTCGTACCAGGGTCACCGGTAAGTCGCAGCTCGGCTCGAGATCACACCTCCCTTCGATGCACTAGTTCTCCTCTGCAAAAGCTGAAACCTAGGTCATTCATGTCTTGACCCGCGTTGGCACGATTTCACTTCTTCATCAAGTTCCATTGATCCGAGCTTTACGATAATCTCAATTTGATCCCTGCGATCGCGGCGAACGAAGGTAAAATCGTAGAGCAACATCGAGAGATACATTCTCCTTCTTGTTGTTTTATCGCGTCTATACGAGAAAGAGGATTCCCTCTCGCCGGGGCGGGAAATAAGCGAGCCACTCGCGAAAGTGATACGCCGGAGCAATAAAAGATCTTTAGACCCTAATAGGAGGCTTAAGAAGATTCCGGCTGTTGACGCGGGCTTATCGCGGCGACGCGACGGCGGCCGATGACTAATGAACGAAATGAAAAGGGCAGGCGCGCACACGGGTAGGACCGCGATCGGGGGGGACGGTGCGAGGTGCGCTTGCTTGTGCGCGTGCTTTGACACGCTGGAATCCAGTTCGATTATTTTTCAGCTCTAATGGGGGGCCCGCCGTGCCGCCGCGCGCGACTCTCGCGGCGGACCGAGATCCGCAATTAATTAACGCGGTAAGAAGGCGATATTCTCCGCGCGTTCGGCCGATTCGGAACGATCGGCGCGCAATAAGGCTCCGCCGCCAGCGTCGTCTCTGACCTCTGGGACCGCGCGGGACGGGTACGAAAGTGTTTAAGGGCCGGCTCACACCTGTGCCGCGTACATGATGCAGTTTTACACGAGGTTACGATCAAACAATAAAGTTTCGCCTTTGTGTTTTTACAAGTAATCCTTGATCTTCGCGAGAAATAATTGTAACATTTCGGAGGACTCGTTTAGTGTATCATATTTTTACTTCTGTTGGGTGGAGATGATTTCAGGCTCTTCCCTCTTGCTCTCTCTCTCTCAAAGCGAACCTCGAGACAATTCGCCTGGAGCCTGTGCATCGGCCCTCAAAGAGTGTCGACATCCGCTCGGGCTTTAATCGGACGCGCGTCGCGCGGAAAACTTCCAACGCGAAATTCCACTCGTGTTGGATCGGGTTCCCGCTTGAGACACGCGGCATAAGCGGTTCACGAGCGGCGGGTATCGGGTAGCGGCGAGATATCGTAGCTAATAACCGCGCGGTGTCAACGAGGAAAGAAAAACGTCCGGGGGCCCTTTTCGCCGGCCGGCCGAGACGTTATTTTCGGCGTTCCGGTTGAGAATTATGCAAACGCGCGGCGCGGCGGCGCGATATCGCTCCGGTGGCTTCGCTCTCGCCGCCGAGCGTCCTCGAGCCGTGCAGTCGAGGACGTCGACAATTAGCACGCCGCGAGTCCCAGGATACGCGAGGATACTCGGGCGTCGTAAAGTCATACACGTCCCGAGACGAGTCCGGCGCATTCAATCAATCCAAGCCTAAATTGCATACGCGCGCGCACCAAAGTGCCGGTTGCTTAAGCACTCGCCGCGCCGCGCCGCGCCGGGGAAAAACGAGGCTTGCGCCGCGCTCGCGGTCGCGCAAGTACACGAAGAAGCTCGAACCTCAGCCTCTCTCAACGGCCTCGCGAAGCCTCGCGCGATACGCGCGTAAGAGCGATTAGATAATTACACAGGAAGCGATGAGACTCTCGCGCAGAGCGCTGCCAGGATATCTAATAGGATAGGCCGCGGCCGGCGCTCGTTCGAGGAGAGAGCTCTTCCCGCGGAATCGGAGGAAGCGATTTGCGCGGCGCAGAGGAAGGCGTCCCGCTCTTGTTCTCCACCTCGTGCGATCTCACGTCGCCGTCGCCGTCGACGCCGCCGTCGACGTCGTTGCCGCACCTACGACGTCCGCAATCAAGATCATCCTCGCGAGCCGCGATGTGTGGGATGCGTTCCCAGTCATCCATGCGTGCATGCGTCCGTGCGCGTCGTACTCGAATATACCGCTGGATCTCGTATCCAGCACGGTGGATCGGCGGGACGAAGGAGGCGTGAGGAGGGGGGAGGATCGGTGCTCCGAGACACGATATATCAGCGTGTCTTATACCGGGCCGTGCGTTTCTTCTCACGGCGCGCGGCTGCTAAACGTAAAAATGCACGTCTTGCGCGCGCGCGCGCGTGTGTGTGTGTGTGTGTGTATACATGCGCGAATTGCGCGCACCGTACGCACGCACGCACGCACGTACGCACGCACGCACGCACGCACGCACGCACGCACACACGCACGCACGCACGCACGCACACTCGCGTGCCGTCCGGTCCGAGTAGAATCGGAGCGAGACGCAGGTGCGTAGATCATGATGTCGCGCTGCCCTCCCCCCGAAATTACCCTCGTTAAAAGACGCGCGATGCGATCGCTCGGGTGTCTCGCGAAGCGTGACTTCTTTTTCCGGGGCACGATATTGGGCGGTCCGAGTCTTACTACGCGTGTGTACCTGCCGGGGGCCTCTCGTAGCGAGGGGATTTCGCGAAGGAGGCCGAAGAGTACGAGAGAGAGAGGAGAGAGAGAGAGAGAGAGAGAGAGAGAGAGAGAGAGAGAGAGAGAGAGAGAGAGAGAGAGAGAGAGAGAGAGAGAGAGAGAGAGAGAGAGAGAGAGAGAGAGAGACGTGAGACTTACAAACCTGCAGAGCGGGCGACTTTTGTTTCTCTCGTTTCTTTTTCTGTCTCAAGAAGAAGACTGAGGGGAAATATCTCCGAGTGCTGACAGTAGAATGATACGTTTGAAGAAAATATCTTTTTATCGCTTCGTGAGTGCACTGATAAGAGAGACCGCTAGATGTGAGAAGCGAGCGAGCGAGTTCGCGACGGATTCGGAAATTTTGCACGAATTGATCGAGATGAGAACTTGAGACTGCAAATTTTAATTCTGGTTTTTTTATTTTTTTTTATTTATTTTTTTTTTCCAAAGGAAGGAGTTTGGAACTGTTAATGTGTCTGCACGATGCCGCAGTGATAATATAATGCTCGATATTTCCAATAAAGTATTTCTTTATATATGTATACTTAGTGAGTTTTTGCTTGTGTGACAAAAGAGATCGGTATGTGTGTGTGGAGGGTGAGCGGATTCGCGGCAGACTCTGCAATTTCACGCGAATCCGTCGAGACGATAGGCCGCGTTCTCGTCGAAGAAGCACACGTATGCTTGTAATCACGCTGGTCCTTGAAACGGACTCCGCGTTTCTTCGCGCGACGACTCGCGAGCGTGCGAGTCTGGGCGTTCTCTTGTTTCGTGTATCTTATCGCGCGAATAGCGGATGCCCCCCATTTTATCCTCTTTTGCCATCATCGAGGAGTCACTCGGCTCGTCGACGGAGGCCATCCTCAGACNTCTCTCTCTCTTCTCTCCTCTTCTCTTCTCTCTCTCTCTCTCTCTCTCTCTCTCTCTCTCTCTCTCTCTCTTTCTCCTCTCTCTCTCTCTCTCTTCTCTCTCTCTCTCTCTCTCTCTCTCTCCTCTCTCTCTCTCTCTCTCTCTCTCTCTCTCTCTCTCTCTCTCTCTCTCTCTCTCTCTCTCTTCTCTCTCTCTCTCTCTCTCTCTCTTCTCTCTCTCTCTCTCTCTCTCTCTCTCTCTCTCTCTCTCTTCTCTCTCTCTCTCTCCTCTCTCTCTCTCTCTCTCTCTCTCTCTCTTCTCTCTCTCTCTCTCTCTCTCTCTCTCTCTCTCTCTCTCTCTCTCTCTCTCTCTCTCTCTCTCTCTCTCTCTCTCTCTCTCTCTCTCTCTCTCTCTCTCTCTCTCTCTTCTCCTCTCTCTCTCTCTCTCTCTCTCTCTCTCTCTCTCCTCTCTCTCTCTCTCTCTCTCTCTCTCTCTCTCTCTCTCTCTCTCTCTCTCTCTCTCTCTCTCTCTCTCTCTCTCTCTCTCTCTCTCTCTCTCTCTCTCTCTCTCTCTCTCTCTCTCTCTCTCTCTCTCTCTCTCTCTCTCTCTCTCTCTCTCTCTCTCTCTCTCTCTCTCTTCTCTTCTCTCTCTTCTCTCTCTCTCTCTCTCTCTCTCTTCTCTCTTCTCTCTCTCTCTCTCTCTCTCTCTCTCTCTCTCTCTCTCTGTAAGTTGCTAACAGAGTCCGCAACAAACATTGTACAAAAACTGCTCTTGTTTGGCTATCTAGAAAATGATTGATTTTCAATTTTCGTGGATATATGTTCAACTTTGTCATTTAACATAATATTGTTATTGGCATTCTTATAAATACTGGTAAATGTTTAACTGGTTAATAAATCATATTAATGATAATAAAACAAGAGACATTGTTTCTATTAACTGCAATTATAATGTAATATAGATTCAATAAATTGAATATCAAACGATAACCTCAATCATATAAGAAAATATCTTCATTTTATAATAGATATTAACATAATGGACAACATTATATGTTATATTTTTATTGGAAAATACAGACCTACAATGGAAACTTACTATGTAATATATTCGTATTATAAAATTGATAGAAAATATAATTTAGACATCTACAAAATATTGCCAAATTTCTGTTATATAAAATAGAAATTATTATTAATCTTAAAATTGTAGAAATTTGATAGGAATTAAAAATCATTTCATATTATATATATATATATATGTGTGTGTATGTGTGCATGAAATCAACATAATCAGCCAGTAGTTTTTTTATTCTTCCGTGATGTTTTATATAAAGAGGATAGTTCACTTTTCAATTGAGCTGCTTCTTCCTTTATCATGTTAATTTTTGTATTTACACCATACATCTGTAGAGCGTTTTCATAACATTATCATTAAATAATAATATATAAAAAATATTAAACAATTATTCTGATAATCATGCATAGGAGATGCACCTTCAATAACTTTAACATATGTTATCAAGGTCATCACTCTGAGCAATGTGCAAAAGGTTTAGGTGATGTTCATTGTTTGTTAAAAAGTTATTAACAAAAAATTATTAACAAAAACAGTTTCATTAATCGAACATAATTTTTCAACACTGTATATGGTAAACTTTACATATATGTGAGTAGAGAAGAGGCTTACATAATTATCAAAAGTTATTACCATATCTAAAAATTTTTCATATATTCTTAAATCTTTCATTTAAGCAGCATAACATACGATCATGTTGACAAGAATTATAAAAATATACATTTTGCATATATTTTGTCGTATAAATTTATTATATGATTATAATTATTAAAAATATAAAACAAATTTCATAAATGCTACTATTCTTTTCAGAATCTGTTATTTTAGCATATCATAGACTCATTAATTATTCATTAAGGCAAAAAATTTAATTGCCATTCCGAAATCTGTAATTTTAGTATATACTAGACTTATTTAGAAAGACGAAAAATTTATTTGCCAAACTTTATGTAGGGATCTTTGTTAATCATCTCAGAATCTACAATTTTAGTATACAATAGACTTGTCCATTTAGAAAAGCAAAAGATTTAAGTGCCAAAACTTATGTATATAAAGACAAATGTATTGATAATTCATTTTGATAGTTCTGAGTACTATTTAAAAAGTTTAAATTGGTGGTCATTGTTTATTACAAATGGTAATTACAAATTATATTCTTTTGTTGAATTTCTTTTGCTGATGATTTTTTAATAAACAAGGAATGCCATCTAATCTTTTGCATATTATTCAAGATGATGATCTTAATAACATATGTCAAGGTTAAAGTCATTGAAGATGTATCTCCTACACATGATTACTCAAATTCTTATTATAAGAATTAGTAAATATCAAATTATACTTACATATTCTTTTATTTTGAATTTTTTATATAAGTCATATAAGTCATCCACTGTCCAATCTTTTTCATCTTGTTTATTTAATTTGATAAATGAACAATTTGATTGATGTTTTAAATGTTCATTCCTATAAATTGCAACAAAAGTCTACAATATATTACATACAATAATATAAATTACTTCAATAATACAAATTACTTCAATATTATAAATTACTTCAATAATACAAATAAAATGATTTACCATGGATCATCATCAGGCTCCCAACCATCCAGTTGTTTGCCACAGATAAAACATTCTACTAAATCTGGTTCATCACTATTTCCAATAGTATAGAAACCAGCAGAAGCCATGCATTCTGAGTTACACTTGTCAGATATTTTAAAAGGCCAATTATCAAATGTCTTTATCCTACCTTGTTTCCAAAAAAAAGAAGTAGCTTCTCTGAAAAAGCAAAGTATTTTATTTTAAATATTTAAATATTTAAAAGCAGTATTCTATTGAATTTATTGAATCTATTGAATTTAATTTTTATTAAATCTATTAAATCTATTGAATCGACTGTAAATTTACATAACTTGATACTGATAAATCGATTTATACTTATACTTTTATTATATATATATAAGGAATATATATATATTCCTTATATATATATATATAAGGAATTTAATATATAGATATGCAATATATCAGTTTAGTTTATTGTAATTATGAATATTACTTACTCTAAGCTATACTTACGGTATCTTCATGACCATATCGTTAATATATACTTCTAAAATAAAATAATCAGTATAATATTAATTTACAAATAAATTTAAAATCTATAAGAAAAATTGTTAATATTCCAAAGACACAAAGGCTATGTCCCAAAATTCACTGCCAGTACTGAAAATATATAGTTTATGTCACGTATATTATAGATTTTCAGTGCTGGCAGTGAATATTGGAACACAACTTTAGTTTCCTTGATTACATTTGATATCCGACATACAACAATTAAAAGTTTCAGTTACTAAAGTTCACGTTTCGATATTCATTGCTAGCAGAGAGAAACTTAAGAGCGGCTACTGGACCAGTTACGCCGAGACGCTTTTTCCGACGCGCCCTCTGAGAAAATGTATGCACACTATATCCTGACCGTAACGGTAAAGCGTGCACGGTTCTTGTTTATTCTACATCCTTAATCCCTTGATTGTGGATGACGTGAATAGGCGCATGAAAAAGTCGTGTCACCAGTGTGGATGATGTGTATACACGCATCGAAGAAAAAAATAGTAAAACTATTGTTTTTTGCATACACGTGGGTATCTATATGTTTTTGGAGTCGCTGAATCCGAATTTGATATCATAATTTCGAAATTCAAAATGGCGGATCCAACATGGCGAGTCAAAATTATAAAGATAATTGGATTTTTATGAAAGTGGGTATCTATATGTTTTTGGGGTCGCTAAATTCGAATTTGATATCAAAATTTCGAAATTCAAAATGGCGGATCCAACATAGCGAGTCAAATTATAAAAATCATGAAAATCTGATTTTCAAAATTTAGATCCGCCATTTTTAATCTTAAAATTTTGATATCAAATTTGGATTCAGCGACCCCAAAAACATATAAATACCGACTTTCATTAAAATCTGATTTTCATAACTTTGACACACCATGGTCGATCTGCCATTTTGAATTTTGAAATTTCGATATCAGATTCGGATTCAGCGAGCCCAAAAACATATAGATATCCACTTTCATAGATATCCGATTATTTTCATAATTTTGACCCACCATATTGGATTCGCCATTTTGAATGTCAGAATTTTAATATCAAATTTGGATTCAGCGACCCCAAAAACCCTTATTATAAAAATATCATAAAGAAAATTCGACATTTTTTCCAACACAAAAATGGCACGACTAATACATTTCTGCCTCCACAGTCAAGGGGTTTAAAAGATAGTAAGTTAGAAAAGCACAAGCGATCAATCGTTCTCTGTCTTTATCTTACCACCGATGAGCGGACTCCGCAGCAGGAGTCAGTAACTACGTTTACACGATGAGGTTAATCCGGATTAATAACAACCGTAATTAGTGAATTCTTTGATTCGATTAGTATATTCTTTTAGATTTAAAAATATACTCTAATTGGATTCGAGACTGCACTAACTACGATAGTTACTATGGCTACGTTCCGATATTCACTGTCAGCACTGAAATTCTATAGTATACGTGACATAACCTATGTATTTTCAGTACTGGCAGTGAATTTCGGAATGTAGCCTAATACCTCGTCTACAATAGAAGTCATAAGGCTCGTCTACATTAACTGTAAGAGTAAGGCTGTAAGGTTGCAAGATACGAAATGAAATATTTTCATTCGCTGACAGCTTACGTTACAGCCTTACAGCCTTACTCTTACAGCTATTGTAGACGAGCCTATAGAGTCGTAAGTCGTACAAATTGACCAATCATGGTCGATTATTTTTCTCTTACCGGACTATGATTGGTCAATTTCTACGACTTACGACTCTACGACTTCTGTTGTAGACGAAGTATAAAGGTCATTCTACAATACGTGTCGTAAGTTGTAAGCCGTAAGAATTAGCGAATCACAGTCGATTATTACAAAAATAATCGGCTATAATTGGTTAGTTCTTACGGCTTACAACTTACGACACGTATTGTAGAATGACCTTAAGTCGAAGTTAAAAGCCGTGTAAACGTAGTCATTGACTATAGAATACATAGACGGAGGCTATAACGAGGGGGTAGTAACATTGACTATAGAATACATGGACGGAGCCTAAAGTGCTGTTTTAGACGAGAGGAGCGATGATAATAGTGGTAAGGGGATCACTATATTGGCTGCGTTCAGCAGAACAAAGTGATCAGTGAGCGCTTAATAATTCTTGCTCCTGATTGGTAAATACTTCTGGGTCTATGAAGAATCTAAAAGAATGCTCCAATCACAGACAATAATCACTAAGCGCTCACTGATCAATGGCCGCATTCAGTAGAACAAAGTGATCAGAGAGCGCTTAGTGATTATTGTCTGTGATTGAAGCATTCTTTTAGATTCTTCATAGACCTAGAAGTATTTACCAATCAGGAGCGAGAATCACTAAGCGCTCACTGATCACTTTGTTCTGCTGAATGCAGCCATTTTGTTCTACTGAACGCAGCCTTTGTTCATAGGCCCAGTTTCACAATTTGCTTTAAACTCCGTTTCAAGCAAGTTGTGGAACTGGGCCATGGTGATATTTGATCGCTCAGAAGTTTCCTGCATGTACATTAAAAACGGTATCATGTAATATTGACGAATGTCACTGAATCCAATACAAAAACAAGCTGCGTGTATCGTCAGTTTTAAGCCAGCGGCACGGTGCTTGTTTTCGTGCTGGATTGCTTGCTGGATGAAAATACTGCGTTGTGATTGGTATATTTTCGAAGATGGATGAAAATGCACCAATCAGAACGCAGTATTTTCATCCAGCAAGCAATCCAGCACGAAAACAAGCATCGTGTGCCGCTGGCTTAAGATATATTTTAAACCATCTTTTGTCTATTTAAAAAGTAGACTTTTTCTATAATTGGAAAGACATCTTTTACATATCTTTTTACCTTATCGAAAAGATGACTACAAAAATATGTCTTTTCGTCAACCAAAAATAGTAGGAATGTTTGAATAGTCGGAAAGACGTCTTTTAAACATCTTTTTGTCTAGTCAAAAAGGCGACTATAAAGATATCTTTTCGGCATCTTTTAATTTTATGTGCTGACTGGGTATGTACGTGTAGTATTATAGTTTAATTATGTGAGTGAATAGAGTAATCAAAACATAGTTTAAGATGTAATCAGAAGTAATCGAAACATTTAAATACATTCCAAAATACCAATGAGAATTTTCAGAAGAAAAATAGGTAATTATTTAGAAGACGGGCCTCACCTTGGATTTCGCTTAAACTCACTTATCTTGTGTATTTTGACGTGTAGAAGCCGAATCTGCAAGTAAAAATGGTCGCTCGGTTCTAGTTAGCAAGAAATAAATAGTTAAAAAGTGACATATGCGAGGTTAGGAAACCTGTCATGTCGATAATACAGAGACTTATGGTCTGTTCTTTTTAGTCGAAAAGTGTAAAATAATACATGTTGAGGAGGGGCGAAGCCCTCTTCCCAAAGACATTTTCATATATTAAACATATGAATTTTTAGCTTATGTATCAGTGGTTATTACACAACAAAAATAACCACTGATATATGAGCTAAAAATTCATATGTTTAATATATGAAAATGTCTCAAACATATGTATACATACAGTACCACATATGTACACACATACACACACACACACACGGAGGTGCAAGGGGGCCTTCGGCCCCCCTCCCGCACCCTCCCCGTCCTCGTTGCATGTGGAAAGTTGCTATAACTTTCAATCACTTGTGTGTGTGTGTGTGTGTGTACATATGTTGGTACTGTATGTATATACATGTTTGCGACTTTCATTGTTACATACCCCCTCCCGCACCCTCCCCGTTCTCGTTGCGCATTGAAAGTTATATCCAAAGTCTCTGTATTACCGACATGACAAATTTCCTAACCTCGCGTGTGTCACTTTTTAACTATTTATTTTTCGCAAACTAGAGCCGAGCGATCATTTTTACTTGCAGATTCGGCTTCTACACGTCAAAATACACAAGATAGGTGAGTTTGAGCGAAATCCAAGGTGAGGCCCGTCATCTAAATAATTACCATAATTTACTTTTTAAAAACTTTAATAATAATATTGTTATACGTATAATGTTCAGGAATCGATTAATCTAAAAAAAGAAAGAATGACATCGAAACATCTTTAAAACATATATATATTAAAAAAAATCTATTATTTATTTTTATTATATTTCCGGAAAAAATCCATTTATATGTTCAAATGGGTCACCTCAACAATCAGGTTAGATAACTACTGCAATTGCCCATACGCCACTTGTATCTTTTTTCCGCCTTTCGTTGTCGCCCAATATTAACCGCTGCTACTGTAAGAGCCAATTGTGCAGTCAACCATTTTTCATGTAATCACATTGATTTGCCGAGTCTTTTTCGTTAATAACTCAAAATTTTGATTGTTTGTACAATAGTAGTGGTTCATTGCTCAAGTTGATGAAATTTTACATATACATGAACGTCGGTACAGATTGCTGTTAGTATGGATTATTGTTCGCATAAGGGAACATCAAAATGACTTCAGACGAACTGCTCACTATCTTCTCACACGAGTTGCAAAGTGCATTGATGTATAGTCGGTGCTGTAATTAAATTTATTGAAGATTATAATAATCAATATTTCTGTACTAAATACTTGTATATACAGGATGTATAACAAAATATACCAACAAGCTATATCAACGCTCTTACACAGTCTGTTTCAGATCCAATGAGACTGGTCTAAAAAAAATACAAAGCGTTTATTATTTTGATTTTTTATTTTTGTTTATTCAAAATAGTCTCCTTCTGAGTCAATATAGCGTTGGAAACGTTCAACAAATTTTTCGAAACATTTTTTATACTCATCGGCTGGAATGGCCTTTATGGCGGTCGAAGTCTTTTGGATGACCGGGATGGTATCGAAACGATTTCCTTTCATCGCCAATTTCAGTTTGGGAAATAGCCAGAAGTCGCACGGAGCCAAATCAGGTGAATACGGTGGATGATCGATAACAATGATGTCTTTGCAATGATGAACTCTCCAATCTTTTTGGTCGTCTGTCAGAGTGTGTGGCACGAAGCGCGCACAGACCTTCCGTTTGCCCAAATTTTCGGTCAAAATTCGATAGACTGTGCTTTTCGGTATCCCAGTTTCCTCTTCGATGAGTCTCGTAGACACATAGCGGTCGCTTCGAAGAATTTCTTTGACTTTCTCGATGTTTTCTTCATTGTGAGTGGTTTTTGGCGGCGGTGCTCGGTCATCGTCTGCAAGGTCCTCACGACCGTCACGGAATCGGCCAAACCAACGGAAAACCTGTGCATGGGACATGCATTCATCCTCGTACACATTTTTAGCGTTTCGTACGTTTCTGCACCACTTTTACCCAATTTAAAACAGAATTTAATATTCGCTCCATGTTGGTTTTCGATCGACGTACACAAAGTGACTTTACATAAAATGTCAAACCACAGTAAAATATCAACCGAATTCGCTCAAATTTTGAGGTTAAGTAGATGAAGGGTAGAACATTCACCTACCATCATTCACTCATAAATGTCGCTGCGCTAAGAACTTTGATGGAACCAGTCTCATTATATCTGGGACAGACTGTGTATATTAGGTTGGTAGGAAAATAATATCGGTTTTTAACTTCTAACTTTAAACGCATATATCTCAGCTCAGAGTAAAGTATATTAATCAAAATAAAAACCATTACAATCATCAAATTTTTGCCAACGAGAAACAAATTTATTTATTCCGGTAACATAGAATTCCAACGTCGTAGAATCGATAAATTCTCGAAAGGCATTTTCAACAGCGCCGTGGTTGTTGAAAACTTTCTCTTGCAGGAAGTGGTCGAGGTACTTGAAAAAATGGTAGTCGATTGGCGAGAGATCTGGTGAGTATAATGGGTGAACCAGAGTTTCATAGCCTAATTTATTCAGTTTTTGCAGCGTCGGTTGTGCGACGTGTGGTCGTGAAGAAAAATGGGATCTTTTCTATTGACCAATGTCGAGCGCAGACGTTGCAGTCTGCGGTGCATTTCATCGACTTCTTGACAATACTTCTCTACCGTGATGGTTTCACCTAGATTCAGGAAATTGTAATGGATCAGACCGGCTGACGACCACCAAACCATCACTATAGTTTTTCTTTGGTGCAGTTTCAGCTTTGGAAAGTGTTGTGGAACTTCGCGGCGGTCCAATCACTATGCTGAGCAGTTGTATAGAATCCATTTTTCATCGCATGTCACAATGCAATCGAGGAATGGATCGTTGTTGTTGCGCAAAAGATACACAAAGCACACTTCATAACGACGATTTTTTTTACTTTCATTCAATTCATGCGGCACCCATTTGTCGAGCATTTTTGATTTTCCAAGTTGCCTAAGATGGTCCAGAACTATTGGATGATTTACGTTTAACTTTACAGCAAGGTCTCGAATCGTGCACGGATCTGCCTCGATCAACACCTTCAATTCGTCATTGTTAACTACCGATGGACGCCCACGACCTTCTTCATCTTCAAAGCTCTCATCCCCATTCTGAAATTTTTGAAACCAATGTTGCGTCATAGGTTCGTTTGCGGTTCCCTAGCCGAATGTACTGTTGATGTTACGAGTCACCTCTGCTGCTTTATAGTTTGAACCTAGTTTGGCCTAGTGTGAACTCGTATAAGAATATCGCTCGCAATTGCTTCTTTTCCATCATGAATTCTATGAATAATAATGAACACAAAATAATAGTAAAAATAAAACCAGTAGCAGAGAAATATAGAGCGAAATCTGCATTTTAAAATGGTATATAACATGAATATATTAAAAGAAATATTTATTCCAAAAACAAATAACAAAGTCAAATAATATATAAAGCTGGCATTATTTTCTTACCAATCTAATACATATATGCAGGATACATCAAACTGGAATAATAAGGTTGCTACCATTTTGCAATCGATCACGTAAAATTTTCAATTATTAACGAAAGAGAATTGAGAAATCAGCACGCACAATGCGGTAAGGTGAACTATGTTGGTATAATTACAAGCTAATGGCTAATCGTGCGATTGTTTCATAAGAAGAGAGCCAGAAATGGCCCCCTCTGATTTCGATGAGCTTGACATATGTTATAGTATTACTCTCCGATTAATGAAGGGGTAAAGCCACTGGATGCAATGCATTCGCGAGAAAAATGAATTTAAAGTTTAAAGTTAAAAATGAATTTAAAATTTTCGGTGTTCCGTATGTACTGAATAATAAAAACAGGGTGCCACTGAACAGCAGTAACCAAGGTCGTAAAGCGACAGACAGTACGCTGTAGCGCTGCACGTCACAAGTTTGAGTCTCGCTTTTTTTTTCATTTTTACTCGAGTAGAGCAACAACTAGCGTTCGCAGTATATTGTGAATAGTGAAGAAAATAGAAAATCCAACGATGCAAAATACTTTAAATTTTTTATTTATTAACCTTATCTTTATCTTATATTTCCTGTACATGTTCTTATACTTTCCTACATTTGCTTCAATAAAACAATAAAATAAATGGAAATATAAAATATATATAAAAATATATACATACAGCGAATAAATGCGCAAAAAGAATATTTTTCTTAAAAATGTTGTACAATTATATATATGTACATTCATGTAAATGAAAATGAAAAAAGGAATTAAGAAAAAAGCGAGATTTGTGATGCGCAGACCTACAGCGTACTAGTCCGTCACCTTACGACCTCGACAACTTGTTTTTACTACTCGGTACATAAAGAACACCGAAAATTTGAAACTCATTTTTCTCGCGGATGCTTGAGCGTTGCATCGAGTGGCTTTATCCTTCATTAGTGGAGGGTAGTACTATAACATATGTCAAGCTTGTCGAAATTGGAGGAGGCCATTTCTGGTCTTCTCCTTGTCAGTAATGATAACAAAAGATGAAAAAAATTTGCAAGCGGTACGTGGTCAATTGTGGTTATTTGTGTAGTCGCCCCATCGTATTATGCGCACTCATTCACTAATTTTCTTTAATAAATATCTCAATAATTATCGTTATTTGCAAAACAATACAAGACGTATTCATTTAATTTGATGAGCTCTGCACACAAGTGGAAATATATAAGCACCTGCACACAAGTGGAAACATACAAATTGCATAAGAAATATCCTGTATACATAAGACGTACCGAAAATCGTAATACAAAATCGTAATACTACAAAAAGAAAATAATTTCTCATATAGAAGTTAAACAGAGAATTAGATTGAAAATTTGTATACCAATTTTTATTTTCATATGAATTTTGTTAAAAAGAAAATTAAACTTAAAAATTCATTGGGCACGTATGGACTTAACTAACAATATCATTTGACTTGTGTAAACGTTACACCGTTCTTTAGAATTTAATTTTCTAGAAAACGAAACATGATGTAAAAAATTTCCATCTATATTTTCGATTTACTTTGTATCAGAATCACCTAGTTCTCCTGATATGAAAAATTATTTAGTTTTCAATTATATTACCGAACTTAATTTCCGACTTTTTCTGCTTAAAGACCACATTCATTTTAATGACAAAATGAATGAATACATTAATCAAAATATTTTCCATTATTTTCTATGATCTTTTTCCATTTCATTGGCAAAAGTTAAATTCCGCGTCGATAGAACTTGTCTTTTAAAGCAATCTAATCATTGACCCATTTTTGCACATTTTGGAAATTAAAGAAATTAGAGAAGTATCCTCAAGGGCACATTACATCGATCGAAACAAGTTTAATAATAGGGATAATTCTGATAGGGCCAAGTCTGGAAAATAGACTGCGTGCGGGAAAACCTTCCATTCGAGCTCTATCAGTATTAGACGGTTCTTGCAACATATAGCCGAGCATTGTCATATAAAAGAATGACTTTTTATCGATCACTGGCAATTGATTTTTTGTATTATAATTCTTCGTTTGAACGTTCCAATTGTTGTTGGTAACGGTTGGTTGTGACTGTTTCATTTGGTTTCAGTAAAGCATAGTACATTATATCTTCCTGATCCCACCAAATATATAGCATTACCTCGTGACCATAAATATTCCGTTTGGGCATCGAAGTTGATGGTTGGCCCAGGTCTGTCCATGACTTTTTGCGTTTATCATAATGGATTATCATAATATAAATCCATTTTTCGTCGCCAGTCACAATACGTCACAAAAAACTCTTTGTTATGATTTGCGAGTAGAAAACTAGCGATGGATTTAACTCTTTACTGCATAGTAGTCCTCCCAAAGTGCCACCAATCATCTTTTATTTTTTCATACTTTTTTCATATTTCTACTGGTTTGAGGATGGGCTTTAATGGGTTAATAAGCATATACTGAACAAAACCGTCGTTTTGTTCAGCAGAGAGAATAAATTCGTTTGCATGAAATGTTAAGTAATAATGTATACTTTCAAATCGTATACTAACGTATACTTCAAAATCATGATCTGGAGGTTTTTGAGGTTGCTGAATACAAATCCGATGTGAAAAGTACAAAATTCAAAATGACGGGTCTCATATGGCGAACATAATTATAGAAATGAAACATTTCAATTTCAAAATGGCTATTGATTGAGTTTTTTATATCATAGATATTCTATCATAGATCCCACGATTTCAAATTTTCAATAACAAATTTGTAATTAACAATCTCGAAAACCCTTAAATAACAAAAGAGGATGTTAAAAAAGACCAATTTTTCGACTACAGATAGAACCTAAAAACTGAATATCATGGGTATCGATGAATATAAATAAAATGTGGAAATGACGGCCCTTTTAGCGGAAGATCTGTAGAAAGAGCCGTAAATCCATCAAAACTAGTGAAAAATGCGTCATTTTATCGATCCAGAGACAACTATTCGGCCACATTGCCAAAGCAGCTTCTGGTTAGATAATTATCCAATAGTTTTTTAAATAGATAGCTAATAATGATAGAATAATAGATAGATAATAATTCAATATCGAGATCCGACATTCATGATGGCGGATCCAATATGACAGTCCAGAATTGAGGAAAATATATATACTGATATATTTTATGTAAAGTCCACTCAACATCGGGCATTCTATTGGATACGCCATAGTTACGAGTGTTTCTGCTATTCGGTGTTTTCAAACTTTTTTAGTGGACCTGATCGTTTGTTTTTCATGTTAAAATCACCACTTTTAAATCGTTGAAACCATTTTTTGCAAGCTATTTTTAATGGAGCAACATCATCATAACTTTCATTGAGTAATCAATGAACTTCAGTTAGATTTTTCTTCAAATGAAAGTAGTGAAGACGCACATGTCGAAAAAACTCTTTATCACGTTCCATTTTCTACCGAATAAAATGGGTCATTGTGTATTGAATTTTATTGAGAAATGTTAAGCTTTCTTTTCAGCTGTCAGTCATAACGTTCGTTGCTTATGCCATTAATTTTTGAGAATTGGTAATTAAGTTCGGTACCTAATATTACTATTTTCGATATAGTTTTTATACACAAGATGTTTGATGCAAAACACGCAATAACCATGGCTGCGTTCCATTATTGACAGCCAATGATGGCAGTACTGCTAATACCGTTTCAAAATACGCTGCAGTAAACTTTCGACGAGCTCGTGAAAACATATGACGTCATAAATTTTGTCGTCACTTCCTGCTTTTGTTACTGCGACTCGCGAGATAAGACATTCTCAGTAGAAAAGTGGCGACAACCATGAAAGTGGCTGCGTTCACTGTCAGTATTGAAAATATATAGTTTGTCATATATACATAGGCTGCTGGAAAAATTTCTGCAATTTAGTACTTGCAATGGCACCACCGTTCTGCTACTATCATATCCGTAAAATTAGACGTTTCTAACTTATAATTCAATTGACAGTTTGTACCTAGTCAATTAGCTTCATTTGCACAATTTTAAAAGAAGTTATTTTGTGAGAAAATGGAAATTTCGCGCGAGAAAATGAAAATTTTCGGGCAATGATTTTTTACGATTACAAATGTAGTCTAACTCCGAAACAATGCCGATCGACTTCATTTGGCTTTTGGGGATGAAGCACCATCCAATAGAACTGTTTATAATTGATTTGCCGAATTTCAGCGCGGACGCACCTTTCTTAGTGACGAGTTTTGTGAATATCGTCCATCCACGTCTGTTATTGCTACTAATGTTGATGCTGTGCGTGAAATGATTGAGCGAGATCAGCATGTGACACACCGTGAGATTCAGGCATCTTTGGGCATTGACATGAAAGCAATACACATGATTTTACATGATCACTTGAACGTACGGAAACTTTGCAGTCCCTTTGGATCTCACACAATTCGACCGAAGCTCAAAAACAGGCTCGTGTGAAATGGTACAAAGAAATGTTCAAGAAATTCAACCGAGGTCAGTCAAATTTGGTCTACAATATCGTTACTGGAGACGAAACATGGATCTAGTCGTACGAGCCCGAAAGTAAACAACAATCCACTGTTCGGCTCGTTCAAAATGAGCCGAAACCAACAAAAGTCGTTCGTTCATGCAGTGTTGCCAAGCAAATGATTACTTGCTTCTTCGGTTATACCGGACATGTGACAACCGGGGCTTTAGAGGATCGAAAGACTATAAATGCTGATTGATATACAACAATTTGTTTGCATGAAGTCATCAATGAATTGTGTAGAACAAACCGAAATTGTTGCATCATTCTTCATCATGACAACGCCAACTGTCTTTCAGCACGTCAAACCGTTAATTTTTTATTCAGTAAAAATGTCAAATTGATGACTCATTGTCAATATTCACCTGATTTATCACCTAATGACTTCTTCTTGTTCTCAAACATCAAACATAAGATGCGTGGTGAATGATTTGTATCGCCTGAAGCAGCTGTTGAAGCATTCCGAACACTGGTTTCTGAGGTTACAGTCTCAGTGAAAAAAATGTTTCGAAAATTGGTTCGAGCGTATAGAGAAGTGCATCGATCATAAAGGCAAATACTTTGAAAAACAAATAAAGCCATTTACCGAATTTTATATGCTTTTTTTTTTCATATCGTTTGCAGAAACTTTTCCAGCAGCCTACGTATTATAGAATTTCAATACTAACAATGAATATCGGAATGTAGCCAGCAAGTCACACAGTTCTGTTTTAAGTTTTAGGTTATATTGTAGTATGTTTGCAGTATTGCATATCCGTTCCGTTATTAATTGCATTACACGCTGAAAAACAGCATCAACAATTGCAGAACACTTTAGCAGTTTGACTTTATGATGTCACACTGTCAGTATTGCAAGTGAATAACGGAACGCAGCCCATATAGGTTTGTAAGATAACAGGAATCCTCATAATCAGAATGACATGCTCTATCGTTCTATGTAATTATTGCATGTCTTGCGTCAAACACCTGCATAATGTAAAAGATAAGTAAATCAGATACTATTTATAAATAAAAATATTAACCTTGACTTAGCCCCAGGCTTGACTTTTACAATAATGAATGATCAATTTTCCATCCGTACCATAACAATCATATAAATTTTTAACTGTCTGGTCAGGAGAAGGTGCAAATGTTTGATTAACATAGAGAAACTGAAAAATAAATAGATAGATAGATATATATATATATATATATATCAATATCAATATATATATATATATATATATATATATTGAGTCTATGCATAATTCCGTAGCGAAATTCCGACAGATGTTCGCAACTGTGTGAAGTTGGCCCCCTAACCACCAAGAATTTAATTTTGACCATTGCCATTCGTTTGGTGGTCGTTTGGTAGCGTTTGGTAATCTATTCCCAACGTTTGGTAGTCAAAAGTGCAATAGTTTTCGCAAAAAATAAAAATTGTATGTGAAGTTGGCCCCCTCATCTCGAAAATCGGTTTCCACGATGTTCTGGATAATTTTGACTATTATTGATCGTTTGGTGGTCATTTGGTAGCGTTTGGTAGTCCATTCCCAACGTTTGGTAGTCAAAATTGTTTTCATTATTAGTGAAAGTCGAGTTTGCATTTGTGAAGCTGGCTTTCTAAGTTTAAAAAATGTTACGCGACATTCCCTTGTCGCGATATTCTATGTAACTTTCATTGTGACAAAATTTTTGGTGGCCGTATTTTTACGGTTGGTAGTTAGTTTGGTGACGTTTGATAGAAAATAGTAGTAATTATTAATGAAAATCGAATTTGCGAATGTTAAGTTGGCTTGCCAAGTTTAAAAAAGCACTTCCCGCGGCATCCTTTCATAATATACATAATTTTCATTATAATCATTTGTTTAATGCAAAGTTACTAAACTATAAAGATTTGCTTATTGACGAATTTCTGGGCAGAAGACGCATCGACAAGAAGAGATATTGACACCGTGAATCCCAGTGGTGTCTATTTAGCGGCTTCAAGTGGTTTTCATTGACAATATGTGATATGTCAAATCGAATTTAACTGTCAGTTTGATTATAAACACCAATTATCGAGATAAATATTAACCCTTTGCGGTTGATGCCGCCACAGTGGTGGCATTCGCAAGTTATCGTAGAAGTCGGTGCCGCCAGGCTGGCATTCGTGATCGCCTGGCGCGCGGCACGGTGAACGAGGCTAGCGATAATGAAAGAAAACTATCCTGCCGATGCTAGATTCAAATGTTTAGATCAACTTACAGATATCAATGTTTATCAATCTCTTCGAAATCTGCCGACCGCAAAAGGTTAAACATAACTTATGTAAAAAAATATTTTCTTTGAAACTAACAAACTAAAATGCCGCTAGCACGATCATACAGGGTCTGCTAAAAGTTCTGGAACAGCTAATTATTAAAAAAAATAATGATTGTTTAAAACAATGTGTAAAACAAAAGTTGTAGAGCTTAAAAAAAGCTATCAGATATTGAAAATTGTTTGACCTTGGATTGACCTTGAGAAACGATATCAAGGTCGACATAAAAATCTCAAGTGGAAACTCTAATTTTTTATTATACCGTCTTTTTCCACCAATTAATTTGAACAACTTTTGTTTGAAACATTTTTTTATTTGCCTAATATTTTTTGAGATATTTAAGGATTAAAAAATTGGAGTTTCCATTTAACATTTTTGTCGACCTAGATAACGTTTCTCAAGGTCATTCCAAGGTCAAACAATTATCAATATCTGATAGCTTCTTTTAAGCCCTACAACTTTTGTTTCAAACATTGTTTTAAACAATTATTATTTTTTGAAATAATTAGCCGTTCCGGAACTTTTGCCAGACTCTATAATATAATAACCATTACTACGTTAAGTGCGTTAGGATTCTGTATGACGTAACGAAAGAGTGGGGATGAGTAAACCTCTATAGTTTAGTAATTTTGGTTTAATGGAAGCTATTTTATGTTTATTTCATTATGAACGATAATCGAAATTGTAGTCGTAAGGAAAATAGAGGTTTTAATGAAAATTACAAAAGTTGGTGACAAAAAATTTATTTTTACTCATAAAACAGTTAAACCAAATGATTAGTAATGGTCAAAATTATCCAAGATGTCGTGGAAACCGATTTTCGAGCCGAGTGGGCCAACTTCACATTATAATTTTTTGCGAGAACTATTACAGTTTTGACTACCAAACGTTGGGAATGGACTACCAAACGCTACTGAACGACCACCAAACGATTGGTAATGGTCAAAATTATCCAGGACACTGTGGAAACCGATTTTTGAGAGAGGGGGGCAACTTCACATACAATTTTTATTTTTTGCGAGAACCATTACACTTTTGACTACCAAACGTTTGGAATGGACTACCAAATGCTACCAAACGACCACCAAACGAATGGCAATGGTCAAAATTAAATTCTTGGTGGTCAGGGGGCCAACTTCACACAGCTGTCTTTCGCAGTTGTTTTTCTGCTCGCACATGTATCAAACATATGAAGTGCCGTACATTAAGTGAAAACTGAAATTTGTGCCGACATTTTAAGAAAGTATTCATCGAGATCCATGACGTATACGAAGTTTAATTATATTTTGAACATGGAAGGAAAAAACGTGTATTTTCAATGCATTTTGCTTTTTTATTTCCGAAAACTCACAAAAAGATATGCGCTGTGTAGGGAGAGAATGCCGTAAACGAAAGTGTGTGTCAGAAGTGGTTTGCGAAATTTCGTTGCGGAGATTTTAACCTCCAAGATGCTCCTCGCTCTGGTCGGCCAGTCACTATTGAAAATGATCAAATCAAGGCTTTAATTGACTCCGACCGGCATTTGACGACTACAGAGATCGGACATAACCTCAACATTGACCAATCAACTATTTCGAGACATTTACGGAAGCTTGGGATGGTAAACAAGCTTGATGTTTGGGTGCTGCACGAACTGAGCGAAAAGAATTTAATGGACCGAATTTCAGCCTGTGATTTGTTGCTCAAACGCCATCAAAACGAACTATTTTTAAAGCGGATGATCACTGGCGATGAAAAATGGATCGTCTACAACAATGTCAGTCGAAAAAGATCATGGTCGAAGCGCGAAGAGGCTGCTCAGACGGCCGCGTAGGTTGTGTTACACCCGAAGAAGGTCATGCTATGTATCTGGTGGGATTGGAAAGAAATCGTCTATTATGAGCTGCTGTCACCCAACAAAACGATTGATTCGACCAAGTACTGCTCACAACTGGCCAAATTAAAGCGAGCAATCGATCAGAAGCGGCCCGAATTGGCGAACATAAAAGACGTTGTGTTTCACCAGAACAACGCTAGATCACACGTTTTTCTGATGACCCAGCAAAAGTTATTGCGGCTTGGATGGGATGATTTGGTACATCCACTGTATAGTTCGGATCTTGCATCTTCAGACTATCATTTGTTCCGGACGCTACAGAACAATTTGAATAATAAAACCTTTAGTTCCCTAAACATCCTCAAAAACCACTTGAATGACTTCTTTGCCCAAAGATCTCAGGACTTCTATGAAAGAAGGATAATGAAGCTCGTAGAGAGATAGCAGAAAGTCATTGAACAGAATGGAACATATTTAGTTGATTAAAATCGCTTTTCTTACTAAATATTTTGCATTTGAAATTTATTCGATTTTCGCTACGGAATTATGCATAGACTCAATATATATATATATATACATAAACATAAATATCATTATTACTATTTTACTGTATTATTACTAAGAAAATTTGAAAAAGAAAATGGTTTAACTTACCAATCTCTCATTAGGATCTAATTTGAGATATTTTTTTATAAATTCCGAAATCCGTCCAATAGGATTGTCTTGGCAAACTGACCATTTTTTTTGCTTCATTATCGGTGCATTAGCAGTTGCTTTTAATAGTATATCAACTAGAAAGTTTAAAAAATGTATATATGTTAAACAGACATACACATATACGCATGCATAATAAAGTACTCTTTCTATGATATTTGAAATTTTGCCTTTTTTTATTTTTCAATGAAAAAATAATATCTCGTAAACTATTCACTTTTCGATCTTGTCTTAATATTTCTAAATGTAGAATAACAAAAGCAATCAATCAGTTATACTCATTTTTGCACTATAGTGCAATAAATATGCAAAACATAATAGTATTTTATTTAAGGTATTTCTTTTTATAACAATCGATTTTATCCGTCATTCTACGTACAAAAGTATGAAAGTAAATTTGCCAAAAAATAAATAATGAATACGAAATATTCCACATTTTACATTATATTTAAAAATATTAAAATATAATAAAATACTTCAGAAACTATGAATTTTGATAATTTTACTCCAATACTTTTATATATAGGAGGACTAGAAGAATATATATTGATTTGTGTTTAAGAAACATATAGTTCCATATATGTAAAAATATATAGTATTAAAAAAATTAAAAATAATACTTATATGACATTAACAAGGTTATTGAAAATCATGTAAGTAACTTTGTCATACATCCCTCTTGATATCGTAAAACTTTTATCTGAAACATTTCCATATTTTCCTTGATTTTTCTTAATTTTCGAAATATTCAAAATAACAACAGTCATTGATTCACCTTATGCATGCATGTATACGTGTTTATCTTAAAAAATCAAAGTTTTTTGTTTAGTATAAAGAGTATAAAGAATATAAGAAGATACTTAATTGAACCGCTATTTTGTTAATGTTTAACTTTTTATTTTGAAATTAGGTTCATCCCTTTACAAAATTACAAAGTTTTGAAATATTTTTTGTTTCGTATTTTCGACCTTTTGTTTAATTGCAATTTTGCAGTCCTGCAACTTTCATATGTCTCACTAGGTCACGTAACATCGAAAGATACAGTAGTATCTCGTATCAAGTAAGTGAATGAAACGAGTAACAAGCGCAGGATTAGCCATGCACATTTACATATCTCCAATCGAGTACAAGATTCATTATTTCATTATAATGAAATTATGATGGAATTATGATAGGAGTCCTATGACATTTGAAAGTCATTTTAAAGCTAAATATGTATTTTTTATCAGTACTTTCAAACAACTTGTAACGTAAAGGAGGTACTAAAATATGTTTTCAACAAAACTGGTAGAGGTTAAAGGAAGTCGCCCACTGACTTTGATTTCGACCTTCAGATCAAATTTTAAGGTCACTTCAAGATCTACGTGATTTTTTCAAGTGAAAACCTCCAATTTTGATATCAGAAATGGTGACTGCGGAAACTTACTAATACATTATTTTCCTGATACATTGAAATAGTAATAGAAAATTGCAGACAAGTTTTTTCAAATAATAGCTAATTATCGTCTGAATGAGATTGTTGATATGATTCAAATTTTAGGAGAATGTAATGTAAATTACGTAGCAGCTGCAAGACTTTACGCACAACATTATCCAAATAGACGTCATCCCAATAATACCACGATACGAAATCTTACTGCAAAGGCTCGTAATGGAGATCTAGTTTGTGAACGTCCTTGTCATGATTACGGTGAAAATGACGCGCGCGTTCTTACAGTATTTGTGATTATCCATTCAAATCTTCACATCAGCAGCCGCCAAATACAAAGGCAAACGGGTATACCTGGAACGGTATTGCAAATTTTAAGAACAAGGCAGTATCACGCTTATCATATCACACTTACGCAAGCGTTAACACCGGATGATTTGAGAATGCGCCTTCGGAGGATAATCAGCCATTATTTGAAAAAAAAATACGTATTTGGCTTTAAACTGACTTTTAAATGTCATGGAACTCCTATCATAATTTATCTATCTGAATGTTAAATTTTCCGCTCTTTTCATTTCTGGAGTCAAAAATAGTGGTTCTTATTTGAAAAATCAAAGTTGACTTTCAGATAACCTTGAAAACTGACTTCAAGGTCAAAGTCAAAGTCATCAGTGTGTGTCCCCCATTGATCCCTACAACTTCACTACATTTCTATTTGAAACATTTTTCATGATCTGGCTTACCTGACGAAATATTTCCGATTATCAATTAAAATGGACCACACTGTATATAAGTTCGTCCTAATAGATCATTCGATGGTTCATTATAAAGTCATTACAAAATCGCACAGATATTACGATCGAGTAGAATTTTCTGAACATTACAGGTTTCGTTTTAAATGTTTCCCGTAAAACTAATTTGTAAAATTATTTTAAAAATAACTGGCTCTTTCCAGACTTTTTAAACACTCGGTAACTGTTAGAATTATCAAGGAAAGTAAGGTTTATTTTTAATAAAATGAGAAAATAGTGAGAAAACGTTTAAAAAAGTGAATGAAAAGTGAGTTTTCCAGATAATTTATTTGTAAAATTAACCAAATAAACAATTAGACCGCGGATATTTATAACAAGAACAAAATTATTATAATTGGAGTTATTTATGTGGATATTTATGACAAAAAATTATAATTACAAATATTTATGACAGAAATAAAATTATATAAGCCTGTTTTAATATTATTAAATATCATAAACTTTTAATATGTAACTGAAAATAAATATATTTTAAATATTATTAAACAAATACCAAATTATTAATATGTAACTAAAAAGATAAATTCGTTAACATACAAATAATTCTTTAACATATAAATGATATCCAAAATAAAATTAAATTTATTATTTAAAGTTTGCAAATATTACGAATAAAAAAATATATAAATTCTATTTCGTGATTTCTAGTTCCTCTCCATGGAACTCTTGATTGATGACATCAGAAGCAAGGAAATCCATGTTAAAAATTCCTATGGATTACGATGAAATAAATAACATAAAATGACACTTGCCGTAAATTCAATACACTTATAAAATGTTCTGAAAGTTATCAGTTTTCTTTGACAGTCAATAAACAGCTATAACATGAGTGTAATATGAAATCTGGTTGCACGAATAATTACGCAGGATTAGACATTCTTATCATAGTCATTCTACAACTGTTGATTAACTATTAAGGCAAAAGAATAACTTTTAGAATATTCTAAAAGTGTGTTTAATCGACTGCAAATGTGATTTTATTTGGATGTATTAGATCGTTAATATGTAATGTCCGATTTCCTTAAGTACGAAATTCAACAATCGATATCTCTGACACTTCACTTCTACAGTTCTTGGTTTTTTTTTTGTTGTGAAGGTACATCATCGCTCTTTCAAACGCATGTTCTGGTTTGTGATTATCTTTCGAGTTGTCTTTATTATAGCAATTTTTGTGTAACCATCTGTAAGTCAAAAGTTCGCGTTATTTTCGAATATAAGTTCCGTCATGGAACCAATACAGCGTAGACAATTCAAAATATCAACGAAATGTTTGATGAAGATGTGGCTAATGAACGCACAGTATGTCGATGATTTGAGAAGTTTCGTTCTGATGATTTTAATCTTGAAAATAAACCACGTGGTCGACCCGAGACCAAAGTGGATAATGATGAGCTGAAAGTTGTAGTGGAAGCGGATACATCTCAAACTATGCATGAATTAGCAGCAAGGTTTAACGTTACTATCCCAACAATATCAGAGCATCTGAAATAAATCGGCAAGGTAAAGAAACTAGATAAGTGGGTTCCGCATGAATTAAACGAGCGTCAGAAGAACAATTATCTCGAAGCTTGCCTTTCTTGACTCTTACGACGTAAAGGCGAACCATTTTTACATCGTATTGTTACGTGTGATGAAAAATGGATTCTTTTCAACAATCGCAAGTGTTCGGCATAATGGTTGGATAAAAGTGAAGTGCCGAAACACAGTTCTAAACCGAATATTCACTAAAAAAAATTATTGGTGTGTGTGTTTAGTGATCCAGCACTGGTATTATCCACTACAGCTTCATGAAACCTGGTCAATCGATTACAGCGAGTGTCTACTGTAACCAACTGGACGAAATGATGAGAATGCTTGCGATTAAGCAGCCGAGATTGGTCAATAGAGGCAGGCTAATCCTCTTGCAAGACAACGCTCCATCATATGTTGCACAAACAACGTTGCTCAAATTACAGGAGCAGGACTTGGAAACTCTACGTCACCTACTGTATTCACTAGACCTTGCACCAACTGACTATCACTTCTTCCAGGCACTGGACCACTTCTTGCAAGGAAAAATATTCAATTCTCAACAAGCTATCGGAAACGCCTTCCGCGATTTCATCATTACCCGCCGTTCAGACTTATTCACTGCTGACATAAGTTATCATTAAGATGGCAGAACTGTGTCAATAGTTTAGGCGCATACTTTGATCGAAATATACTATTTCTAGTTTGAGATATAATAAACTAAAATTTTGATTCGAAATCGGATATTTCATACTTAATGACCTAATTTGTAGCAATCTTCAACATAGATTTTCTCGCTTCTGATGTCATAATCCAAAGTAGCCACGGCGAAGGTGAAGGTCAAGATAGCGTGAAAGAGTTGCGCCTGAGGTGCTGAAAAAAAGTCAGAAATTAATTGCTTTGATTTTTAAAAAACTAATTATTAAGTGATTTTTCGTGACTAAATATATATATATATATATTTTTTTTTAAGAGACTCAACTTCAGACGATTTTAACTATTCCCTAATTGACATTGTGCCTTCAAATATTTCATATGCTTAATTCCTTATAAATCTTTACTATCTAATGCACCGGTGTGAATTTGGCAAGCAACTTAATCAGTGAATTGATTGGCAAGCAACAAACGGATACAAACGATACTCTTTTGAATGGTTTTAGCCGAGTTGCAATATTTCAAAAATTGACGAAAATATCTCTTGGACAATTATTTTTGAATTCTGAGAAGCTTGTACTTCCAATTCCTTTAAGGTACAAACGACTTGGAAGGAAGTACAAACGGATACAAACGATGTTCTTTCGGATGACTATTTGCGTTGACTGTTTTCGTATATCTTATACTTGTTTGCTGGCTATTCCCTCTTCCTTCCTTTATCTTTTTATTCTTTGAAATATAAACAAAACAAAATGAGATACAAACGAAATACGGACATATTGCAATTTCTTTTTATGAAGTTGTTTGCCAAGTTCATCCCTTACCAAAAAAACATTTAAATATTGAGCATTTACACTCGATTTTGAGAGTTTATTCTCAAATTTGAGTATATACACTTATATTTTAAGTATCTATACTGAACATTGAGTATTCATACTGAACATGGAGTATTCATACTGAACATGGAGTATTACACTCTAACATTGAGTACACCTTAAAAGATGAAGTATACAGGGTGATTCAAAACAATCAGTTGTCCTTAATATGCCATATTCTTGAGCAAATTCTAAGACCATTTTTCCTCTTGCAAAATGTTATCTGCTGTTTAGTTACTGAATTATTAAGATAAATAGTTTGTCTATTACGAATTGGATATAGTAGACAGGCAGAGATGGAACAATTAACCGTTGGGGCATGCGCTGCCTAGGCGCTTGGTACGATGTGCTAACGCATGTGATAACATTCATTCATATTATTTTTAGAACTTAAAAATTTTAACGCGGGTATAATAGCAAATATAATATAAATTAATAATAAATTAATAGGATATTAATTGTTCCGTCTCTGCCTGCCTTCTGTACCCGATCCATAATAGACGAACTATTTATCTTAATAACTCAGTAGCTAAGCATCGGATAATATTTTTGCAAGAGGAAAAATAGTCTTAGAATTTACTCAAGAATATATCATATTAAAGACATCTAAGGATTGCTATGAATCATTCTGTATACACTCAATAACTGAGTATTCGCATTCCAGTTTGAGTGTAAACACTGCATATTTAAAAGTTTACTCTGAACATTTGAGTATGACACTGAATAGATAAGTGTAAACCCTAAACTTTAGAGTGTTATTCTCTACATTAAATATTCTCAACAGTCACCAGATGTCCACTCTTTCTAATGATTTTGTATTAACGCCGAAATGTTAAGCGCAAATGCCCGTAAATTTAAAAACTGCTTAAACATGATTGTTTAAATTGTATAAGTAAATGCAACCAACTTAAAATATTATGATTGCAATTTATATAATAAATAATAAATTTATAATAGATTTATATAATAAATTTTTTTATACAATAAATTTTTTAATATAATATATAGTAAATATTGTTTTTTGATATACAGGGTGCTAAATTCCAAACATAACAGGTAAAAAATTTCGAAAACTATGAAAGATATTAAAAAAAACTAAAACATGTGTTTCATGATTTCGAAGGGGAAAGAGAATGGCATTATTAGTTTTTTATTTGGAGGATATTTTCAAGGTCAGTTGAAGGTCAACTTAATTTTAAAAATAGAAAGTCCAATTTTTTATTATATCTTCTTTTTCTACCAATTAATTTTAACAACTTTTGTCTGAAACATTTTTTTATTTACCTAATATTTTTTAAAATATTTAAGGAAAGCTTGGTAACTTTTTCAACATTTACCTTACGATATCTCGTTAACTATTCGGCATCGAAAAAAAAAATAGTTTGACTTTTTTACTTTATTTATTATCAAGAATATACTACTATAATAGTGCCTTAACTTTTATTAATTTAATAATTTTGAAATTTCCGAAGGTCGATAAGTTAATAAAAGTTAGGGCATTATTATAGTAATATATTCTTGATAGTGAATAAAGTAAAAAAGTTTAATACTATTTTTTCTTACAACTAATAGTTAATGAGATATCATAAAGTAAATGTTGGAAAAGTTACCAAGTTTTCCTTAAATATCTCAAAATATATTAAGCAAATAAAAAAATGTTTCAGATAAAAGTTGTTTAAATTAGTTGGTAGAAAGAGAAGATATAATAAAAACTTGAGCTTTCTATTTAAAAAAATAAGTTAACCTCCAACTGACCTTGAAAATGCCCTTCAAGGTCAAAGTCAAGGTCACCATCACCCCTACAAACTCTATAACTTTTCTTTTGGACATTTTTCGATATTTCCATAATCTTTGAAATTATCAGTGTGGATAAATTAAAATGGCCCATGCTGTACATTTATATGCATATGTGCATATGTGTGTGCGCGTGCATACATGTGTGCACATATATACATAATAATATAATACAATATAACAATATAACAAATAAAACAATATACCATTTTATTTAAATAATTAAATACAAAATAGTCAATTTCCGGAAATTACACAGGTTTTAGAAGAAAATGTTTCTTATCAAAATTTTATGACTTTGAGAGGGACATAAAATAATAGCATCCCAGAAAACACAGAATACAACTGTTATATAACATAGAAGTAACATGTAATATAACATATGTTATACTCTAGTTATATTGATGTTATATAATTTGGTTTCATAATTGTAATTGTGTTATGTATCTGTTACATTGTTTTGTTAATAAGCTGGAAATAACGTTACAATAGTTACAATAACAGTAATGTAACACATTATATAACAGTAATTATGTAATAATTATTCATATTACATTGCTGTTATATAACACAATTATTCATGTAATCCATTAAAAGTGAAAAATAACAACTTCATGTCACAAAAAACACAAGCAGTTTGAATATTTGCTTGCACAAGTTAATTTTTCTTTTTATTTTTATATTATTATTAATAAAAGTTACATTTAATACATTAAATTTGTCATAAAATCCTCTATATATGTAAAAAAGATTATGTAAAAAAAGATTGCATGATACCATTTACAAAATTCCAGATGATCTTGACTTTTTATAAAAAAATTTTTTTCAAACTCTTATTTATTAAAATATTAATTTCAATAATTAATTTACAATTTATTAAAATATTTAATTTTTCAAATTTTCTTATCATACAGATAACATAGCCTTGTTACTGTATGAAACGAATAAATGTTCACCTTACAATCTTTTCTTTAAACTATCAGAAATGTCTAAAAAGTCATGTGGACATTACACTGAACAACCTGTATATATATTTTACAAGATTACTTTTTGCTTTGTCCTTTGACATTGTTTGAGTTCCATTTCGTATTGCAGTTCCTTCAGGGGAGGTTTCTAAGCTGGTTGGTACATCCTCAGTTGTCGCATTATCTAGTATTTCTTCAGTCTTTGTTTCAGTTGTCAGATTATTTCCTTCCTCTTTAGTAGTCATAGTATGATGTATCCTATTATCCACATAATATTTATAGATTATAAATATAGAAAAATATCCTACCTAGATACCAAATCTGCGAAAGCAGATTCTGTATAATATCTGCTGCAGATTTCATCAGCAGCTTGCTGGCAGAAATATAAAACTTAATGATAAATTATAATAAACTGACAACAAAAACTAAGCAAGACTTGTTCTAATATATTTAAATTGAACATACTGCAGACCCTATTCACTTTCTGCTGCCAATCTGCTGTTAGATTCTCACAGCAGATTCTATCCACACAACATAAGCTTAATATAAATACCAGATGTCTATGAATCTATCTATGGATCCTGATAAAACTTGTCGCTAATTTATTAGTAGGCTGCTAAAAGATTGTTTATTAGATATATATTTTGATAAAAAAGCACCTTTTTGAATAAGTTGAAAACTAAAAGCAAATATTTTAGTAAATGCTTAATTTCAAATTTCACTTCAAATTAAAAAAAAATATACTGAAATATTTTATTTATGAACATATAAGATTTTGAAAATCAAAATCGTCCACTAGAACTACATAATTTCTAACAATAGTAATTATTAATAAGCAAAGAAATAATTATATGTGGAGGTTAGAACATTGTCATACCAATAAGATAAAACGTTAAACATATATGCTTAATTGTAATTCTAATTTAAAAATTTATGCATAATATTACATAAATTTCATAATTTTCTATGTAAAATTTAGCACATATTGCCTGATGTTTTTTGCACAAAATCCGGTTCATAATTTTTGATGACATTGTATAAGACGCAAATTTCTGATATAACTATGGATCTAATTCTACACAAACAAATATGTAAACTAGACCTCCTTTGTACAAGTAAATAATTCCTCTTTTCAAAAACTTTTGCAGACAAGAACTAACTTTTAATATCATTTACAAAAAAAACCGTCGTTAAAAATTATGTCTATTTTTATCACAAACTAAGAAACATATTTACTGGTACTTTATATGCTGTGTAATACGTAATGTAAAATTCACTAACCTCTATTGATTAAAGATAACTTTTTCTCTCTCTGATACCAATCTCTCTCCCTCTCTCAAAATATTAGCTCCGCCAGAAAGGAACTTGAAATTAGCCAACAACGTTTTCGATGACATCGATTTTCCGGACTAAGGACCTTTAAAGAGAGCTGGACCATAGACAGAGTTCAATTCAATTCAATAGATGGCTCTGGGTGAGTAAGCCACTGCTCCGACGCTACTCTCTAACCATAGACATAGTATATCCAGAGAGCGGCCAACACGGCGTTTTCGGCGACACCGACTTTCCGCAGTGTGAAAAGCCGCCATCTGCATCCATTTGAGAGGGGAACTACGATGCTACATCTACTTTTAGATTTCGGCGGTAAAACCTACATGTACTGGCAGTCCGAAAATGGATGTACTACATCCAGAGAGAAGAATGAGAGCGGCCACCGGCCGTATTTCGGGAGATACGGCTAGGCGTATTTTAGATACGCCATCTGACCAAAATGCGCCTAAACTACGTCCGCTAGGCGCACTTTATGCCAGTCTATGGCCGGTGGTCTAAAAAGAGCGGGGGAGAGGGGGGGAGGAGCAGAAAAAATAAAAGTACGTATTAAATGCTAAATCTTCGAATATATATTGCCGTATCAAAGTCTCTTCTACAATAAGCAATTTGACATGTATGGAGACGCATGATGTATCGTTGTCCGCGTCCCGTTCACTTCGTCTTGTTTTTTAATTCAGCATCCCGTCCGCTCTGGACATTCGCTCGTGGCACTGACAGTGGCCGTCGGTGAGCATTCGATCCGCTCGGAGGAGCACGTGTTATTCACGTAATTAACGTGACGAGACTCCGATTATAAATATCCCGCGAGTCGACGAAATATTTGAACTTTTAAAAAAAGCATCAAAGAAAATCACGTTAATGTTGTCATGGGTAAAATCTCACCCCGGTATATATTTTCTTATTTTCGAAATAAAAAAAGCCAAACGAATGCAATTAAATGTTATTTATCATCATTGAATATTAAATGAAAAGTAGAAGAGTTATTGTCCGCAGCGGATAATCTCCCTGTATAAAATGTCGAACTGAAACATATTAAAAAGTATTGACATTTTGAATACGTCTGAATTCTGCTTTCTGATCCGAAGAAAGGGAAAATAAAAAGTATTAGTTCCCATTAAATTTCACCGCGCTAAATGCGAGATGGCAGTAGTGAATGCTTCGCATTAACAAGGATTCAATTCGTTTCAAATATGCCTTGTATTCAATCGCAATCGATAATTTTTAAATGCGAACTTTCGTATTGAAAAATATTCGCTTCTTCTCCTAATCGTTTTCGGATTCAGAGGCATACAAGATTTTCACGTTCTATTCCCCGTCGCATTAAAAAGTATTCACCCGCGATCCAATTTGAGAGCAGAATTCACGACAAAATCTCGTGAATGCGAAACAATACTTTTAAATACGACATTTTATACAGGACTAATATTTAATAAGAGCGCGACTAAATTCGCATAGGATGAAATTCCATTCTTTAACGCTACCATGACCTTTAATTATTCTCTGAAAACGGCGTCACAACAACTTACACTCTGTACAATTAATTGCTAACACATTTTCTAATCGTATACATTCCTCTTTAATTAACATAAAGCTAACAAATGTCCGATGCTTCAACAGAGTAATTTTCTTTATTTTCAGTAATCAATAAATAGAGTGCATCAATGTCGCGTACAGTTGAAAGGCCTCCTCGCATTCCCCTCGTCGTTCCCAAACCTTCGAGAAAACAAGAGACGCTCAAAGGCAAGTCTCTCTTGCTTCAACCGCCGTCAAGGCCCGCAATGTTTACATCGCGCCGATTGTGTTGATCGGCTCGCGAGCGACGATACTTTTTGCCCTTCGTATTATAATACTCGCGCACCTCATGTATTCGACCTCATTCCATCAGCAGTAGCCGTGCGCGACGCTCTCGTCACTTCCGTCTCGTGTAATTAAAAGAAATATATCTCGTCGGTCTTCGAGATACTCAATCGGCATCGCGTCGACATCTCATTCATTAACTGCACGGTCGAATCGCGAGTATCAGCATTAGAAGCGGAAGCGTGAGCGAGTGAAATCCGGAGGACTTCAGCAGTCGAGAAGCAGAACGCCGGCAGCGATATGTCACGTTTCCAGGTATGTGGAATCATTTATTACGCGGGAGGTCTCCGATAACGAGAGCGTACGTTTGACGAATTTTCCGGGAATAAGAAGTCGGAATTTCGCGCTCGGTATTCACAATCCGTCATCATCCGACTAGTAATGATCACTTTATGAATTTGCAATTACTCTCGTCAATCTCTGCCTGTCTATCTATTTATTGCGTTGTTGTATACAAAAGATATTGATCCAGACAGAGACGGATAACGGTCCATGGACGTGGATCTCGAATTCATCATGTTCTCAATCAAACATTCTGAATCATTCCCAATTCCTGTGTGAGAATATTGGTCTTGTGTAGAATATTCAACGTCATATCGCTTCTTAGACTGCGACCTTTTTTGTTTTCGGTCAGCGCTTCTTTCAAGTTTGTTTACTATTGTTACGGGATCTGAATTTAAATGTCCATCCGTAAAAGAATATTTTCGAGAGCACACAACTGTTGTCTCCGCTTCTTATTGTCATTTTCTTTCGTCAGCTCTTTCAAGAGCTCCTATCTAGACATTCAATGTCAATAAAGAAAAAAAATCGTAGCGAATATTCTCCACTCATCCCGACCAACCATTTTTTCTCTACCGCAGCTTACCAACCAAGAACGCTAAATTTTTGTTCCAGATGTTGCGGGAAGCAAGTCCGGCGGACGCGGATGCCGCACCGGAGGATTCGGTTCGGGCAGAGCAGGGTCGGCCGGAAGGTAAAGTTTACAAGTTTCCTACACATCTGTGTTCAACTCTTTACGATCTTTGCCTTTGTAACTTGTTCCTCATCAGCTCTCTTGAAAGCTTCAAGTCCCATTTAAATTTTCAATGTTGGAACAAAAATATAAAGATAAAAATTCCGTATCAAAATTTATCCGTATTTTCGATTGGTCCTGATCAAAGATATTCTCTCTCTACCGCAGGTTATCAACCGGGAAAATTATTTTTCTGTTTCAGTTGTTGCGGAAAGCAACAGCAATCCGGTGGACGCGGATGCCGCACCGGAGGATCCGGTTCGGGCGAAGCAGAGTCGGCTTGAAGGTAAGTTTACAAGTTTACTATAGTACTCTGTTTGACCCTTAGCGATCTAGAGCTGGGATATAATTTCCGGCTCGACTTGAATTACGATCGCAGAGGGTAAACTACTCTTTTACTCACCCGCACTCGTTGGTCAAATCTAATGAGCAAATGTGAATTTTTTGTTACAGAGTTGAAGCGGAACGTGGCCGGCTCTGACTGCAAGTCGTTTCGGTGAGTCAAAATGAAAAGAGAAACAAAATTCTGCATGACGGATGTGGGACTAAAAAATTCGTTCGAGTCAATGCGAATTACAAATAGATACTTGCATGTGTGTATTTGTGACGTTGAATAAAATACATTGCTCGAAACAATCAGGGGATTACTTGATCGATAGCCTGCATTACATACAAGATTTAAAATACTGAATGATTCTCTTTTGATGTTCAGTCATCTGAATAAGAGAATATTCATATGTACAAACGCGACACCGACATCAGCTGCTTTATTTTTATTTTTCAAGCGAGCCGCAGAATTACTTAACGATTTAATTATTTGACAATATTCAATTGTCCGTATAAAATATATTCATACCTAAATGCCGATATCGTTAGCTACTTTTTTTTATTTGCAAAACAGGCTGTAGAATTATTTGGCATTATTGTCCATTCATCACAATCCCTATTGTCTCGAGTAGCGTATAATGCGCGTAGAAATTGTGCCAGCGCACGCCGAGCTTGAGGTATCCTCGCTCGCGTGCCTTTGAATATCGCGTCGCGGTTGTCAATATACGCGTTTTTACTCGCATTGCTAACAAAGAAAACTTAAATTCTTATTTCGCCAAAGTATCGCGAACGTAAGCTTCGTCGTGACAGAGCTATAATGCGTGAAAACTTTGCCCCGCTCCTCTCTCTTTGCGCTCCCTAAGGGGGACCGGTTTCTGATTGTCTAATCTTTCCTCGCGTGCATTCGCGTCGCGAATATTTCACTCGTAGATATCGATAATCCCACATTTTCGCGACTTTTCAGACGCAATCGCGAAAAGCACCGTAAAAATCCGTTGGACGAGTCAATAAATTTTCACACGGTTCTTACTCCTCGCCGATCGAGTTTATAGAGTCCGTTTCGCAGCGCGCAAAAAGTTTCCACCGATGGCGAGTAAAACGTTCGTTAATTGATGTAAATATCGCCGTTCTAATACCGCGTATCAACCGCGTCGCGGAAGTGTGATGAAAGTGTAGCGATCACCGTGGGACGAGCTGCAAGATGGATGTTGCGCGATATGGAGAGCGGCAGCGGACATGGGCGGCCATTGGTGGATCTGGTTGGATGCAACAGGATATCATCAATATCATCATTGGTGAGTGTCTGACTCAAAGCTCGCAGAAAGAACTTTTATTATTACTTTATTATTACTTTTATTATTACATTGTGCATGCCGCAAATTTGCATTGACTCTTGTAACGAAAAATATATTCCATGAATTATTGTCTTATATTATTGCCATACATTGTTGCCACATATTGTTGCCATATATTGTTGCTATATATTGTTGCCATATATTGTTGCCGTATATTATTACCATATATTATTCCCATATATTGCCATGTATTCTCGCCATATATTATGGCCACATCAAATCGCGCGAGCAATCAAGAAAACTGAATTTATCGGTAATCGCAAAGGCGTGGCAGACGTCACAAATGGATGTTAGCAGCCGGTCTCAAGGTTGACCGATAACAATATTGTTGCTGCAATTTAACCTTAAACAACAGCGGCCTCAGATCGCAAGAAACATTTTATCGCGGACTAACATTTCGAACGGAATATTCCCGAGAAGCTCTTGAGATAAATGGAAGTTATAAGCGAACATCATCGATAGCATATTTAACCATCGATATCTCCCAAAGGTCTCACGACACAGGAACGCTCTGTTGCAATATAGTTCTATATCAACCCTACTTTGACCATAAAGCTCAACTTTCAATTCACAGTAGAAACGGAGA